TCTTGCTATATTATGCCATATTATATGTCTGTCGTAGACTATGTTTGTTACGCCTGCACGTAAACACGTCAGCTTGATATACTTGAACTATTACGAGTTTACCTAGTCGGAAAACGAGAGCGAGGATCGAGGATCCGGCGACACGACATGCTACTCAAATCCGATTATCCCAAACCCCCATATTTAGTAAAAATAAGAAGACATGATATGAAGTAGAACCTGTATTCTACAAGCATCCAGAAAGTATGGGGTTCGAGTCCAGAAGAGAATCAGGATACCTGACTAGGGACTCGGGACCAGGTCGTGGTCATAAAACGTTACAGATAATGCGTATTATTACATTTCAGTTGAATAGGAACGGCATCAAAGTCTGTGACACTGACAGTTAAGTCGACGAATAGGAAGTAAAATTTGAAGTGACATTGATAGTCAGGACAACCAATAAGAAACAACATTGGAGCACGTGACATTGATCTCTAGGACGACAATAAAATTGACCAGTAGGAATTAACCAATAGTAACTGACCAATAATTCTCTTAGGATATTGGATAAATATCCTAACAATATTGCTATATATAGAGCAGAGAGGTTTCCTATGATGAAACCAGTGATTCGTTGTGATGAACATTTGATTTGCACGATAATCGATTTCATTGATTCTGATGATAGTTGTGTTGCAGCATCCTCGAGGGCCAGTGTATTGCATATTACCCATATCATCATGTACGTGGGATGGGTCAAATTGGCGTTTTTAAATTGTGCGACTATATAGAGTTCGATACTGATTAGACAAAGAAACGATACATATCTTATTGGACAATGAATCGCAATAACCATCTGATCAAGTTGTACATTACAAAAGAAACTCATACTACTAATAATAATATGTTGAGTAATTCAGTGGTTACACTACATCCAATCATTGCATGATTAAAGTACCGAATTCCAACGATCGACACAGTCAAAACGTAATTGATTGGTTGACTGATCAAGTACTAGTTTGTGTAGTTGATTTCAAAACATGCTATTCATGCGTATCGATGTGAGATGATATTACGTAGGAAATGCACGTGACCATGTCATTTGATATACATGAACTATTATGAGTTAAACTTAGAAAGTAAACGACAGAAAGGATCGATGAACTGGCGACACTACAGGCTACTCTAATCCGACAGTCTCAAACTCCCCCATTAAATAGAATAACAAGACTTGATATGAAGTTTAACGTGTATCCTACAAATCATCCACAAAGTACGCGGTCCGAGTCCAGAAGAGGATAACGATCCGGGTCATAAAACGTCACAGATAATGCATATTTATACAGTTACGTCAAATAGGAAACAACATTTAAAGTATGTGACATTGATAGTCAGGGCGACCAATAGAATTGGACTTAAAAATAATTCTCTTAGGATATTGGATGAATATCCTAACAGAAATTATGTTTGAAAGTTAGTTATTTTAATTTATTCTTCTGTTAGGATATTCATCCAATATCCTAAGAGAATTAATGGTCAATTCCTATTGGTTAATTCCTACTGGTCAATTTCATGGTCGTCCTAGATATCAATGTCACGTGATCCAATGTTGTTTCCTATTGGTCGTCTTCACTGTCAATGCCATAGAATTCGATGCTGTTTCCTATTCAACCGAAATGTATAAATACGCATTATCTGTAACAGTTTTTGACCACAACCAGGGCTCGGTCCCGGATCCCGATTCTCTCCTGAACTCGGACCTCGTACTTTCGGGATGCTTTTAGAATACATGTTCTACTTCATATCAAGTCTTCTTATGTTATTTCATTATGGGGGGCTAGGATAATCGGACCTGAGTAGCATGTCGTGTCGCCGGATCCTCGCTCTCGTTTTCCGACTAGGTAAACTCCGTAATGATAGTTCAAGCATATCAAGTTGACGTGTTTACGTGCAGGCGTAACAGTTTCAAAGAGATTAGTTATTAAGTTTTTTAACGTACAGTTCATTAAGTACTTCTGTTTTATGCAGTGATGAGTTCATAATATATTTTTCAAATTTGCCTCCGTTCATTTAACGTACTAACTATAGATATACGTCTTACAGTTTAAAAATTAGTCATGAATTAATCATCATAACTCTGTTACCTCAGATATTATAGTACGACGACCTGATCAAGTTAAGCATAGATTAAGCCTATTTATGGTAGGTCTCTCTTTCTCTCTCTATTGAGTAGAAAATAATTCTGCGTGGTTGTTCAATAAACGTTAACATATCAAGCTACTAAACTATAATGATTTAAGTAAGCCATTGCAGTCAAAAATCATATCGGTATGTATGAAGGCGTCGACTGTACCCAATCATTTCCACTGTAGTGAACGAGAACACAGGTGGGGCAACCGAATTGTATTTAACGAAAATTACAGAGTTAGTTACTCAGTAAAATCATCGGAAAACCATATCGTAAATCGTTCATTTGCAAAATATCAGTTCATCATATCGAACTGGAGGACTGTTCCTGCTTTGCAAAACATCAATCGATTGTCACTATTCATGCGTTTCATACAAATTCCATATTGTGTTCCCTTGTCTTCCTTTCTTGATCTTCCCCCATCTTCTGCTGCCAGACATTACGTTGACACTCACGTCATATAGTACTTATAAGTAGCTCACACCACATCACTTGTTCAATTGTATAGGGTAACGTTCTTTTTTTTATGGTTGTTACCACCTCGGTTGGAAACGGACTCGTGGTTTATCTACACACGCAATTATATAATGTCATTGTACATTTTGTGAAAAGATGGTAACTTATGTTATTCTTTTAAATGAAGCACTGACAGACGGCCGTTTCGTCCTGGTATGGGACTCATCATTGGCAGTGCGCAATCACGACTCCTGCACCCATTAGGATTCGAACCCAGGACCTTCGATATTGTGCGCGAACGCCTAACCATCGGACCACTGAGCTTGATCAATTCACGGAGTTGCGCAACCTCATACACAGTCTTCGGTAGTAGTTACTGTTTACACCCGAACAGGCTGAACTTCACTGGTCACGACTTCCTACCACTAGAACTCGGAGAAGATTCCTCACAAAGCTAGTCGTCACTAGTGAGCACAGGTAATTTGCATTACGGGGTTGTGTGTGTGTGTGTGTGTAACTTAACAATCTTCACAACCCCGTAATGCAAATATCTACTAAATCAAAATTTGCTTTTTTTTCTCAAAGTTTATTAACTATTATTATTATTATTATTATTATTATTATTATTATTATTATTATCATGATTAATGATTATTACAATTAAATCTCAGCTTGACAAGAAAAAAATGCACAAACCTTAACACACACACCCACACCCATCGACACACACACATACACATACACGAGACGCACACACACACACACAAAGACAAACAAAAGACTGCCGAGTCAAGAAAACACAAAAATCAATCAGCCCTTTTTTTATAAAAAAAAATAACTAATTAATCAGAGAGAGAGAGAAAAAAAGAACACAAGGACAACAGCAAAACCAAAAAAATAATAAACACAGATTGTTGTTGTTGTTTGCGTACTGAGTAGTTTTTTTTAGGTGCATGGGAAATTGGAATATAATCATTGGAAATCAGTTTTGCAGTTGAAATTAAATCAATCAATAAATCGATAAGTAATGAATATCAATAATTTGGGTATTTATATACGTATTTGTATTGATTTTGAATAATTGAAAAAATAATTGTTTGATAAACTGTAAATTGTTTTTTCTAACGCTGTCTTTGGTTTCAACTGTCAACGCATACAACAGTACAGTACAGTGGGATATAATCAGCATCAGCGCTATCCATAATTACTTGCTTATTACGTAATACAGTAAGTGTGAGCGTGTGTGTGCTGCTGCCGCTAACAAAATCAATTCTCAATCACGCCAATAAAAAAGCACACACACCAATCAATAAGACAGCAATCGTCTACTCCATTTCGACCTTGAAACAAAAAGACATAATCAACCAATCAAATAAGACAGCAATCGTCTACTCCATTTTGACCTTGAAAACAGGACAAGAACAAATTTTTAAAAAAAACATCAGCTAACCAATCAGAATGACCATATTGTTCGTGTGTCTAGCTGTCTTTTATTTATATGTCTTTGGTCTTCATAAATTGAACACACACATACTCACTCACTCAGTTGACCACCAATCAAAAAGAAAGGAATTTTGGGAGAGAAAAAAAAACAGACCCTGAAATGGAATAATAAATTTAGAGACGTATAAATATCACAGTAATTTTAATTGTGGCGCTGAACAATTTGAAGTTTGACAGTAGTACAACATGCGATTTGGAGATGCAGCGCTACAGTTTAAACTTTATCCAATATATGCAGAAATTATAAATAATAATAATAATAATAATAATAATAATAATTCTCGACACCAAAATAATAATAATAATAATAATATTAGAAACTGAGAAAATGAGAAACAGAGATCTATAAATCATCAAAAAAATTATTTGTGTATACATATATATATCTATCTATATAAAGCAAGCCACATAAACATTGAAGACGGGGGAAAAAGGGACGAAAGACTTTGAAATACCAGACACTGACATACATACATACACAACACAAATCATGATCAGAGTTTATCCTTGTCAGAAAAAAAATAAAGATTACTGATAAATTTGTATAGGCTTCAATACATTATGTAAGCAAATAAACGATCACATATAGACAAACAGAAAATTAGAGGAACAGCACAAAATATCTTGTATATTTTCTCGATCAGAGTAATGAGGAGAGACAGAACACTTTTATATTGCACCAAAGAAAAAGAAATCATACAAATGTGTAGTCAAAAATGAAGATGACCACTGACACAATTTTACACAAAAAAAATGACGAAACCAATTACTAATAAATAAAGTACAATCTGGGTACGAAACGACAAAGTAAACCAAAGTGAGGTGGGGGAAGAATTGAATAATTGAATTGTACCCACATCTTATCAAAATTTCAATCAGTTTTTCTTGCTTTTGAACGTTTTGTTGTATTTTTATTGCCAGCACCACTACTACTACTACTAACAGTAGTATTAGTAGTACTAGTAGTAGTACAAGTTCCGCTGACAGAATCATTATTCATTGACTGTCGCTGTTGATGACTAGTTTCGCTGTGATTATTATGATTACCACTTAAAGCTAATTTTAACAATTTATTAGCTTGTGGATGTCGACCACTTTCAAGTAGATCAACTTCCATTGTTACAGCAATTGGATCACCATGATCAGTTTTAATTAATGGTGGAAAATGTGAGAGTAGATCACGTGTCGTCGTCGCCGCCGACGATGATGTTATCTCCTCATTCGTTGTGCTGGTAATAGTGGCGGTAGTCGTCGTCGGAGCAGTAACAGTAAGCGTAGTCAATGACGATAACGATGACGATGAGGACGGCGAGGATGGTGAATGTACTTCCAATTCATCAGATTCCATCGCAGACAACGATGCAGACGATGATGGAGTTGGAGATAATGATGACGATGTGTTCGGCAATTCGATTAATTCAAAACCATTTTCCGCGTCATCCTCATCCTCATCATCATCATGTTCAACAATTTGTTTAATCGATAACAATGTGGACTGATCATCATGATCGATTGAAGTTCCGCTTGATAAGAAGAGATGACGATTGGTTTTTAAATTTTCTGCATTATTCTTTTGGCGAATCATTGTTTCTTCTTCTGCTTCTTCCTCATTGGTTGATTTCAGTTTCTTTGAATGATTACGACGTTTACGTTTTGATGAGAGAATAGATGTAGTGGAATGATGATGTATTGTTGTAGTATTATTATTAATGGATGGCTCATTTGAACTATTAGTACTACTACTAACAGCGGTAGTAGTAGTAGTATTATCGAAAGTCAATGGATTAGTTGACAAATGTTCCATGACACATTGTTTATCTGATGTGGTAGAATTATTATTTTCCTAAGATCAATTAAGAAATATAAAATAGATATATATAGAGAGAGATCATTCATTTAAAATCATGAACTGATCAATGTTAGATCACCAACAGAAAGTTAGAAGTAGTGGATGACCGTTTCGTCCTAATATGGGACTTTTCAGTGGTTTGCATCAATGACCACGCTCGTGGGAGAATCTGTTACGCATGCACGTAAATAGGTCATTTGATATGTTACGAGTTTACCTTGATCGGAAAACAAGAGCGAGGATCGAGGAGATGGCGACATGACATGCTACTCTGATCCGAGTGTCCCAAACCCCCACTGAGTGAAAAGAAGAAGACTTGATATGAAGTAGAACCTGTATTCTGAAAGTATGAGGTCCGAGTTCAGAAGAGAATCAGAATCCGGGGACTTCGGTTGGTCAAAAGTTAGACATTAACCCCAATAGATGCCTGCTCAATGGTATAAGAGTTAAGCGTTCGTAAGAGCCTATAAACTGTGGTCGTTGATGCGCACTACTGATGAGTCCTCTATTAGGATGGCAAAATGGCCGTTCCGGTGCTTCCAGATTTCTAATCGTAGCCTAACAATCATTGATTCATGGTTTAAATGTAAAATAACAATCTCTTAGGATCTTAATTATTACCATGGTAGAAATAAATTACCATGAAATCTAAATCGAGAAATTTTTTACATTTTGAATCTTGAATCGACCAATAGTAGATCACTATTAGAAAGCTAGAAGCAGTGAATGGCCGTTTCGTACTAGTTTGGGACTTTTCAGTAGTGCTCATCAACAACCACGCTCTTGGGAATCGAACCTAGGGATTTCGGTTGGTCAAAAGTTAGACATTCACACCATTAGATGCCAGCTCAATAGTCTATTAAGGGTAAGGTATTTGTAAGAGTGATAGAAAGTCCTGGATTGGAACCTATAAACAGGGGTAGTGGATGCGCACAACTTATGAGTCCCCTACTAGGATGGCAAAATGGCCGGCCAGTGCTTTCAGATTTCTAATCGTAGCCTAACAATCATTGATTCATGGTTTCATTTCTTCAATGATAATTATAACCTTAGACTTGATGGTAAACACTGAGGTGGTTGGGACATGTGTTACGTATGCCTAACCACTGAATACCTTGACGAATGATATTGTCAGACGTAGTTGTAAGCTAGAAGAATGCTAGGAACGGCCAAACTAGAACATGGCACAAAATAGATGAAGCCATTGTCAACTGAACTGAATCACGTCCACTCTCTCCATTCTTGTTTAATTTTATCATAGATATGCTCTTAGAAATAACCTTATCCTCATCTGAATTTTCTGGAGTAGACCTTCTACCAGGTGGCTCGCTTATCGACTTAGAATATGCCGATGAAATAGTCCTACTTGGTGAAGATGCTGACAGGTGACTGAGGAAATCTCAGCTCGGATACAGAAGGCTCGATTGGCCAACCTACGTAACCTATGGCGCAGGCGAGATATCCGCTTGCCGACCAAAGGACGAGTGTACTGTGCAGCAGTTCGCTCCGTCCTACTGTACGGATGCGAGAGTTGGCCGTTAAGAGTAGACGACTTCCGTAGGTTACTAGTCTTCGATCATCGATGTCTCCGAAGCATTGCTCGTGTATCATGGGACAACCAAGTAAGCAATGCTGTCGTAAGGAAACGAGTTCTAGGTAGGAACGGCAAATCAATAGATGAAGTAGTGAAACTTCATCAGTTGAGGTGGTTAGGACATGTGTTACGCATGGCTAACCACCGACTACCTCGACGAGCTATGTTTTTCAGTGTAGGAGTGGACTGGAAGAAAGCTAGGGGCGGCCAGATCAAAACATGGCACAAATCTATGAAGTCACTGACTAGTGGACTGAGTCATGTTGGTAGATGTAGGCTACCTGGTTGGGGTCCGCGATACATAGTCGCCGATGGTTAGAGACCTTGAGTGACATGGCTCAGAATCGTTTGCAATGGTGCAGGTGCATCCAATCTTTGTGTTCTATGGAACTCTAAGCTTCTGCATCCCTCATAATCTCTATCTTTCTCCTTCTAAATTTATCTTACTGATATATACTTCTCGAATCATATCTTCGCTCCCTATTCTTCTCCATTACTGCTAATACTTCTATTATTGCTATCACTCTTGGATTTGAACTGACAGTTGCGTCTCTGTGCTGATGGGGCATGGCAATCTGAACTGATAAACTTATGTACGAAGTTCTGCGTTGTATCTGTTTGTCTGAATTCCTTCTCTTATTTTTTAATCGATTCTCACTGGGATATACACCTCGAATGATTGTACATTCGATCAGTAATCTTTTTGATTACTAATACTAATATTTCTACTACCTCTACTACTATGGAATTCGAATCGATAATTGCATCTCTCTGTGCTAATGTTGTATGACAACTTGAACTGACATTCGTACGTACGAAGTTCTATGTTGTAATTGACTGACTGAATAACAATAATCGTAATAATAAAAGTAATAACCGAAATTATGAATCCATCATTATTAAACCACCTGGAAGCACTAAACAACCTCTTTGTTCTAGTAAGGCACTTATCATCAGTGAGCATCCACAGATCTTGAACCCAAGACCATACTGACTTCGTGAGGAATTTTCTCAAGGTTCTAGTGAGAAGCGGTAACTTAGTCGATGTGAAACAGTTACTCTACAAAGACAATGTGTGAGGTTGCTCAATACCTCGACTTGGTTCAAGTTAGACAATAATACTGTTGAGTTGGTTGGGACATGTGTTACGTATGCCTAACCACCGACTTCTGCAACGAAGAAAGTTAGGGCGGCCAAACCAAAACATGGCACAAATCCATGAAGTCACTGACAAGTGGACTGAGTCATGTTGGTAGATGTAGACTACCTGGTTGGGATCCGCGAGACGGAAGTCATCAATGATTAGAGACCTTGAACGACGTGGCTCAAAATGATTTGCGATGGCGCAAGTGCATCCATTCGTTTTGCTCTCTCAAATCCTAATCTTCTGGATTCATCAGCACCTCTACCTTTGTCTTTCTAACCTTATCTCACTGAATTATACTTCTTGAATAATTAATATCTTTGAACCCTAGTCTTCTTTATTAACATTAATACCTCTACTATCTCTATCACTATGGGATTTGATTTGACATCTGCGTCTCTGTGCTAATATTGTGGTATGGCAACATAAACTTATGTACATACGTACGAAGTTCTACGTTGCAACTGACTGACTGACTGTTGGGTACCGGCTCACTGGTCCAGGATGAGACCGTAGTGTCCTAGGTAGGATTACCCGCAAGTGGGGATCGTGGATGCGCACTGCTGACCAGCTTCATACACTAAGATGAAACAGTCAGCTAGTGCTTCCAGTTTTCTAATTTTATGCTCATCACACAAATGATCAGTCAGTCAGTCAGTTGCAACGTAGAACTTCGTACGTAAGTACATCAGTTCATGTTGCCATACCATATCAGCACAGAGATATAATTGTCAATTCAAATCCAATAGTAGTAGAGTTAGTAAAAAGGTATTAGAAGTAATCGGAGAGGTTAGGATTACAAGATATTATTCAAGAAGTATGATTCAGTGAGAAAAGTTTAGAAAGTCAAAACTAGAGGTGTTGAAGAATCCAGAAGATTAGGATTTGAGAGAACACAAAGAATAAATGCACCGGCGCCATTGCGACCGATTTTGAGCCATTTAGTTCAACGTCTCTAACCATCGATTATTATCATCTCGCGGACCTCAACCAGGTAGTCGACAACTACCGACATGGCTAAGTCCACTCGTCGTCAATGACTTCATAGATTTCTGCCATGTTTTGATTTGGCCGCCCCTAACTTTCTTCCAACCTACTACTCCTACACTACAAAACAAAGCTCGTCGAGGCAGTCGGTGGTTAGGCATACGCAGCACATGTCCCAACCACCTCAACTGATGAAGTTTCACTAGTACTTCATCTATTGATCTGCCAACACAAATGATCAATGAAATTTTTCTCACAATTGCTAACAATAACCACCAACCTTGACATGTATCAAAATTCGATTTTGAAATTCATCTCAACAACTTACCATTGTCGATTCATTAGTTTTACATTGTTGATCCACAATCTTGTCATTGTCATCAATAGAACTGAACTTGTTTAGATTGCTTTCAACAACGACTGCTGAAGTTGGTGGCGGTGGTGGTTGAATGTGTTCCTCTTCTAATTTGATGTTATTATCAACATGAATAACACGTTGATTAGTTGGACTCGATGATTGCTTCACATCTTTATCAGTAGTATTAGTAGTAGTAATAGTATTATTATTATTATTACGTCGACGACGTCTAACTGTTTTCATATTAGCACATAACCATTCACCATTATTATTATCAGTATCATCAACATCAACATCAACATCAACATCATGATTATTCCTTGGAATATTTAATGTTTCTGGCAGATCTGGAATAGGAGGAGGAGTACAAGTGATGGTAGTAGAAGTAGTAGACAGGCGTGAATGTTTCAATGATACAGGAACAGTTGACGAGGATGATGATTCAACAACTGATGACTTACAGGATTCTTCATGATGTATAGGATTGGATTTCTTTGTTTTCAATGATTTGCCAGTAGTATTACGGCAGCTACTACTATTATTACTACTGGATACTTTTATTTTTTCATTGTTAATATCGTCGATATCTTTTGTTGTTGTTGTTGTCATTGTCATGAGTTCGCTGACATCTGGTTCATATTTAACCGAACATATATTAGTTTCTGTGGAAAAGAAAAAATTTTCAACCTTTTATTATTAAACATCACGGGAATTAAATATGAATCATATTGTGATTGAAATCATGAACTGATCTCAAATGCTAGAATAACTTGTAGTGAAAGAGAACACAAGTGAGGGGCAACCGAATTGTATGTATTTAACGAAAATTACAGAGTTAGTTGCTCAGTAAAATAGGAAAACCATAGCGCAAAATCGTTGTTAATTTGCAAATCTTCAATCCATCATCAATCCATCATTGTCTGACATTTCACTTACTATTTATGCGTTTCATACAAATTCCATTGTTCCCACTCTTCCTTTCTTGATCTTCCCCCATCTTCTGCTGCCAGACATTACGTTGACGCTCACGTCATATACTACTTATAAGTAGCACGCACCACACTCGTCCCCCCTTTTAATAAGCTTTCGTCGTCACTTTCAAAACAGGGACCCTGGTCAGTTAATATCACCTTCCGTATTCCATGACGCGCTACAATATGCCGGATTACCACTTCAGTCATTGTTCTTGCCCGCTGGTCTGGAATGGGTACAGCATCTATCCAACGTGTAGCGTTTACTAGTTCCCGCTGCTGGGACACGGCGGCAGGCACACTCTCGATAAATTGCGACGCCAACAACTGTGCCTCCGACTCCTCATCGATATTCGGCAGAGCACGGCGCAACAATCTGGTGAGCTCCACAGCAAGCACCAACGGGTCACCATCAGCCAACAGCCTCGCCAACCGGAACCTCTGCGGCGCCTCCTCCCTGTCCACTAGGCTGTCGAACTCCGTCACCAGCTGCCCGGTGACCGTCTCCCACGCCGTCTTCCCGGCGGCACCGTCCAGGCTGTTGTATACCGCCTTCGCCTCACCTCCCCGCAGCGTCCCCAGCACCAACAACTCCGCCCCGGGTGCCTTCACACTCACCAGCCCCACCACGGCCTCAAACTCCTCCAGGAAGCTCCGCAAATCTCCGTCCTCAAACTCCTTCGGCCACGGGAGCTCCTTCCTTCGTGCAGGCAGCGACACCAAATGTAGTGAAGGAGAACACAGGTGGGGCAACCGAATTGTATTTAACGAAAATTACAGAGTTACTCAGTAAAATAGGGAAACCATATCGTAAATCGTTGTTAATTTGCAAATCTTCAATCCATTGTCTGACATTTCACTATTCATGCGTTTCATACAAATTCCATTGTGTTCCCACTCTTCCTTTCTTGATCTTTTCCCATCTTCTGCTGCCAGACATTACGTTGACTGACACTCACGTCATAATACTACTTATAAGTAGCTCACACCACAGTAGTATCATGATTTTTATGTGTTTAAATAAAGAATAACGATTAAAAAAACGCAATCATCCCTTACAAAATCAAGTATATTTATGATTGTGAAATATGAACCATTAGTTCTTTCTTAATCATTCCCATTTGCACTTGCACTTGTCATTTCATTCATTCATTTTATAATGATCGATTTCTGATTGGTTATAATAAATAGATAGTGGTGTGCTAAAATCAACAGTGTTTTTAATATTATTAGCTTAAGAAAAGTTCAAGCTAAGTTCTTACATGAAAAGCTGGCTACACACACATTCTATACACATGATTATATCATCATAATGAGTGGGGGGGAGATTTTAAGAATTTTCTTTTAAAAAGAAACACCAGCCATTCATCAAGGTGGTTTGGAAATAGTCAACAGCCAAGGAATCTTCCATACTGAACCTATATGCTAACATGAGAAGTTGAAGCTTGTTGGGCAAAGTGTTAAATATCTTCAATGAGTTGTACACAGTGAGTAGTGATTGACTGAACTCCGTTGGCTGGAGCCCCTCTGGAGGGAGCTATTGTCGGTGTTAAACCCTGATAAAGGAGAACGAACGGCTGGGTGTACGGGTTAACGATCCCATCCCGTGCAAAACTAATTCCCACCCCAAAAAAAAACGCTAACCAGAGAAAATTATTCATGAGATATTCTGTTGCTATGGTATTGTAACAAATTTGAAAACCTAAGCTATTGCGAAATATTTACAAAACATTATTAATTTTCATAGTAGGGTTATGAACATTGTAGAGTGTCATCGAAATCATAAATCGATGATTGTTAGACAATCATTAAGAACAAGGAACCACTGGACAACCGTTTCGTCTTAGTGTGGCACTCATCAGTGATAAGGCGCATCCACGACACCCGAACACGGGAATTAAACCCAGGAATTCCGGTACCGCGCGTGGACGCTTAACGTTTAGACTAATGAGCCAGCATTCAACGGTGTTGATATCTAACTTGAACGAATCAACGATGTTACGCGACTATCACTCATTAGTCTTCGAATAGTTACCTGGCTCACACTTGATACAACTGAACACCAGAAATAATAAAGATTAATTTTGTAATTATCATCATTAATAAAAATGGATATAGAAAGGATATGATTGCGACCAATTCGGTGTTGTGTGCTTTTATGGGTATGAGGGCGGATATAACTTCCCGGCTGCCCACATCGTGGAAAGTTTCTGGTTGTCAGAAGGGGTATCGGCCTTATGACTACAGAAGGAACTCGGCTTTCATCATGAGACGTCATAATTTTTCTAAATGAAGACCTTCTAACTTCCAGAGCAGAGTTTATATGGTTTGAATTATTATTTCTTGTTAGCGATTTTTTGGCAAGCAAGTCTTTTTCGGGATGAGGTCGCCGAACCCCATCTCAACCCTCCTTCTTTACCCTGGCTTTGGATAGGCAGTAGCCCCGTCACCTGTGACGCAGGCGAGATATCCATTTGCTGACTAAAGGACGAGTGTACTGCGTAGTAGTTCGCTCCGTCCTACTTTATGGTTGTGAAGCATGGCCAGTCAGAGTAGATGATATCCCTAGATTACTGGTATTTGACCAAATATGTCTCCGGAGCATTGCTCGCGTATCCTGGAACAACCGAGTAAGCAATGCTGTTGTTTGGAAACGGGTGCTAGGTAAGGATGGCAGGTCAATAGATGAAGTATTGAAACTCCATTAATTGAGGTGGTTGGGACATTTGTTACGTATGCCAAACCACCGACTGCCTCAAAGAGCTATATTTTGCGGTGTAGGAATAGGTTCTAAGAATTTGAGGGGAGGTCAAACCAAAACATGGCACAAATACATGCAGCCACTGACAGCTGGACTGAGTTTTTTAGAAGGTGTAGAATACCTGGTTGGGGTCCGCGAGATGTTAGTAATCGATGGTTAGAGACCCTGAATGACATGGCTCAAAATCGTTTGCAATGGCGCAGGTGCATTCATTCTTTGTGTTCTCTCAAATCCTAACCTTCTGAATTACTAATCTCTATCTTTCTAAAGTTATCTCACTAGATTCTACTTCTTCAATAATATCTTCGAACCCTAATCTTCTCCATTACTGCTAATACTTCTACTATCTCTACCACTATTGGATTTAAATTGACAATTGCATCTCTCTGTGCTAATATGGTATGGCAACATGAACTGAAGTACGTACGTACGTACGTACGTACAAAGTTCTACGTTTCAATTGATTGACTGATCAATTAATGAAAATTTTCCAAAATAAGTTACAACACAACTGACTAAACCAATAAAGAAAAATATTAAAACATATAAATAATTACCATTTTTAAAATGATGAATAGATTCATTTTGATTGTCAGTTTTTAAAACGAACTCATCTATTTCATGATGGCGCTGATGATCGTGATGTTCAGCGGGATCAATTGAGTGAATTGATGAAGATGAGGATTTATTTGACACTTTTGTTGATGACGACGGTGACGGTGTCGAGGTTGTTGCTGCCGCTGTTACTGGTTTACGAATGGAACGTTTACGTAGTGTAGCATTTTTCTTTGATTGAATTAACGGTACGCCAAGTTTTGTTGATTGTGAAACAACATTCTCAGACTGAATTGTTTGTTGTACAGAAATAGAAAAAAGGCAATGGACTCAATAATATAAAAATGAATGCATGAAAGTGATGTGATATGATGAGTCAGTTTCATTTAAAAGTTGATAAATGATAAATACAACTCCGCTAGGAGCCCTCTCCCTCTTATCTAGGGTTAACTGCCATAATCCAAACCCGGAAACGAGTACTAAGTAAGGATGGCAGATCAATAGATGAAGTAATGAAACTTCATCAGTTGAGGTGATTGGGACATGTGTTACGTATGTCTAACCACCGACTGCCTCGAAGAACGATGTTTTGTTGTGTAGAGGAGTAGGTTGGAAGAAAGTTAGGGGCGGCCAAATCAAAACATGACACAAATCCATGAAGTCACTGACAAGTGGACTGAGTCATGTTGGTAATTGTCGACTACCTGGTTGGGGTCCGCGAGACAAAAGTCACCGATGGTTAGAGACCTTGACTGACATGGCTCAAAATAGTTTGCGATGGTGCACGTGCATCCACTCTTTGTTTTCTCTCACATTCTAATCTTCTGGAATCGTCAGCACCTCCTGTAACTTTGTCTTTCTAACCTTATCTCACTCACTGAATTATACTTCCTGAATAATAATATCTTCAAACCCTAGTCTTCTTCTTCATTACCATTAATACGTCTATTATCTTTATCACTATGGGATTTGAACTTGACAAATTGCGTCTCTGTGCTAATATTGTGGTATGGCAATATGAACTTATGTACATACGTACGAAGTTCTACGTTGCAACTGACTGACTGACTGAAACCCGGATAAAAGAGGGGGGTTGGGTACGGGGGAGGGCTAGTGATTGCATTCTGTAGAGATTTAACTCGTTAAAAAAAACGTTGAACGGAAAAATAATTTCATCGGTCGGTGGCCTATACTTCTATAGGCGTAACAGGAGTAAGTAAGTAAATGATAAATGCATATGATTGGTCAGAAGATGGTTTGATTTTTATAGGAGATGAGACAAACCGTTCAGCTAAACATTGTTGAAAACCTGAAGAGAAGGAGTACAAATAATGCACACAGTCGGCAGTTTTACTACTCTCCAACTAACCTGCCTTGCGACATGGTGTCAGTCAGTCAGTCAGTCATTTACAACGTAGAACTTCGTACGTATGTACATCAGTTCAGGTTGCAATATTACAATACTACAGAAAGGCAATTGTCAATTCAAATCCCATAGTGTTAGAGAAAGTAGAAGTATTACTAGTAATAAAGAATATTAGGGATCGAAGATATTATTCAAGAAGTATAGTTCAGTGAGATAATTTTAGAAAGAGAAAGATCGAGGTGATAAAGAATTCAGAAGATTAGAATTTGCGAGAAGCCAAAGAATCAATGCATCTATGCCACTGCAAACGATTTTGAATCATGTCATTAAAAGTTTCTAATCATCAGTTACTATTTGTCCTGCAGACCCCAACCAGTTAGTCTACATATACTAACAAGACTCAGTCCATTTTACCTCTACACCACAAAACATAGGTCGTTGAGGAATTCGGTGGTTGGGCATACAAAACACATGTCCCAACCAGCTCAACTCATGAAGTTTCAATACTTCATCGATTGATATGACATCCTTACCTAGTACATGTTCACTAACAACATCATTCCTTACTCGTTAGTCCCAGGATATACGAGCAATGCCTCGAAGACACCTATGGTCGAAAACAAGTAACCTAGGAATATCCTCTACTCGTACTGACGATGTTTCGCATTCATTAGAGTAACAGTGCTGAGATTTCGTCAGTCACCAAGCCATCAAAACTGATGAGACTCCCAATATAAGTGAAGCGGTCAACACGTTCAACTACTTCACTCCCTATCACTAATTCAGGTGCCGACACGAGCCAATCCTGAAGCAGCATTTTGCATTTCGAAGGGCAGAACCTCATCCTAAACATGCTTACATTGTTGCTTAGGGTAGTAAGAAGACTCTGCATTTTGTCAGCGTCTTCATCGAAAAGAACTAGTACTGTTAGAGTAGATAACCTATTAAAGGTTAATGTAATTCTTTAGCACACCTTTCAAAGACAGATACTACCACAGAACCTGACGACACCAACAGAGTCTAACACCACCTTGAACTCAAAGAATTCAATTATTGGCAGATGCTGACAAAGTAGTTCACACTCAGTCATTGTTGTAACGCTGCTACGTATAGCTATTCAGTCCTAGCGGCGTTCAATTCAAATATCCCAATACGACCCAAAATGCTATTTCCAAATCTCCTAGATATCAGAAGAGAGGTAGACAGGAAGAAACGGAATCGAAATCATCGAGTCTTACAGATAGTGCGTATTTATACATTAAGGTCGAATAAGAAAGAGCATCAAAGTCTGTGACATTGACAGTTTAGGACGACAACCAATAGGAAAGAAGATTTGAAATGACACTGACAGACCGGATGACCAATCACAGACAACATTGAAATATTTGACTTTGACAGTTAAAACGACCTTAATTTTGACCAATAGAATTCGACCAATAAGATTATACTTCCAAAAAAATAGTACTCTTAGAGGATATTTGGTGCATATCCTAACAGTCATGAAACGTTATAACAAGTATATATTAGTATTTTAATTATTAAAAATCTACTACTACTACTACTCAATTCATTCAAATTTATCCAATTAAAAAAACCTTGTAAAATGATACACTTATGAAAAAAATCACAATTCTAAAGAGTAAAAAAAAGGGATTAATTTACATAAATTACAAGTGTACAATTCACACTAAAAAACTCAAGATTTACAAGAGAAAAAACTACACGTTAGAATAATGAATAAAATGAATAAAAATATTTGTAGGCCAAATCAATAACAACAACAACAAAGAATTTATTTTTAACCTAAACGAAAACAAGGACAATTGAAACCAGAAATCAATCATTTGATAAATTGATGACGTAAAACGAATCTGTTATTATATATATATATATATATATATATATATATATATATATATATAGTTGTAACAATTTGTCTATAGAATACTACTACTGTGATAGATACTACTTACAATCTGGTTTGTAAGTAGTATACATACAGTGCAGTGTCACACAGAAGGTGATAACACCACAGAAAAGAGTATCAGATTGGAATGCATAATGTGAGACTAGTGTTTTGAAGACCAAAAGACATGATGTGAAACAAGACAGACGATAATCCTTTCGTTTTGTAAATGGAACTCTGAAGATTAACCGTGTTCATCTTCTCTGTTAGTAAACTGTCATACTTCCATACACTAACGACTAATCCATCTAGTCTTAAAATCTTCAAGGACTACATTACTGCTTACTCATTTAGTTAAACTATATAAGTAGATTGAAGGCATGGATCAGCAAAGCAATAACAGCAGTTCTACAAATGAAGAACATTTGGAACTTAAATCAACTATCAACTTCAAACATCAACACAATTCCAGTGTATGGAGTGGAAACTTGGAGAAATACCAAAACTATCATTCAGAAGATACAAGTGTTTATTAACAGTTGTCTACACAAAATACTTCGGATTCGCTGGTCAGATAATATCAGCAACAACATACTGTGAGAGAGAACAAACCAGATTCCAGAGGATAAGAAAGTCAAGAAGAAGAGCTGGAGTTTGTGCATAGGACACACATTGAGGAAAGCAGCCAATCAGTCAGTTGCAACGTAGAACTTCATACGTATGTACATAAGTTCATGATGCCATACCACACATTAGCACAGAGACACAAATGTCAAATCAAATCCCATAGTATAGATTCTATTCTAACAGAAATCCCATAGTGATAGAGGTAGTAGAGGTATTAATGGTAAAGAAGAAGTAAAAGGTTTGAAGATATTATTCAAGGAGTATAATTCAGTGAGATAAGGTTAGAAAGACAAAGGTACAGGTGCTGACGAATCCAGAAGATTATGATTTGAGAGAGCTCAAAGAGTGGATGCTCCTGCGCCATCGCAAACGATTCTGAGCCATATCGTTCAAGGTCTCTTATAACCATTGGTGACTTTCGTCTCCCGGACCACAATCACGTAGCCTACATCTACCGACATGACTCAGTCCACAGGTCAATGACTTCATGGATTTGTACCATGTTTTGGTCTGCCCGCCCCTATCTTTCTGCCAACCTATTCCTACACTACAAAACATAGCTCGTTGAGGCAGTCGGTGGTTAGGCATACGCAACACATGTCCCAACCACCTCAACTGATGAAGTTTCAATACTTCATCTATTGATTTGCCATCCCTACCTAGAACTGGTTTCCTAACGACAGCATTGGTTATACGGTTGTCCCAGGATATACGAGCAATGCTCCGGAGATACCAATGATCGAATTCTTGTAACCTACGAGCATCTTCTACTCTTAACGTCCATGTTTAGATGCATTACAAGACAAACCCTCATTCAGAATTCTCAAGGTCAAAGAAAGAGAACAAGGTCGAAAAACACATTACGCCGAGAAATGAAGACAGACATGAGAAGAATGAGCAAAAATCGGACAGAACTGGAAAGGAAGGCCAAGGATAGATTAGGGTTAGAGAAGGCTGGTCGTCAGTCTATGCTCCACCATTTGGGGGGGGGGGATAACCAACAAAAGTCAATAAATAATGTGAGCAGATTACGAAAAAATTTTTAACAGATAACTAACTAAATTGAAAAATAATTTAGTTCAGTTCAATGTAACAATTATCATCCATGTACATATTGGAATCAAACAATAAATTGACATTTCACATTAAAACCATAATCAAATGATTTTGATCAAAATGATTTATTGATTATTCAGTAAAACAATTTTATTGGACATTGAATATTGAAAAATTGAATAGATTTTTCAACTAGTTCATTCAATATGTGTCACAAGTACATTTTTTTGTAGATAGAGATTAGGATTGGAATTTTTTACAAATACATATATTTGAATAACATGTTTTCCTGTTATGTAGTTTAGTTTAGTTACAGGATATAGTAAGTAATTT